ATCTAGTTTGTTGAAGAGGCTTTGCACATTTGCGGATATAACCTTCAATGACTGATTTGTTGGAGAGGCCCGGCCTTCATTGTGACGGGTTCTGACCACAGGAAAGACCCCTTTGTTTGGACTATTTGTCCATTTTTGATCTTCAGCCCTTTCTCTCCTCTGCCAATTCTCTCCTTCAATTCTGATCTCAGTTCTCTCATTTTCAGTCTTTCCCTCGGTTCGTAGTCTGGTTGAAAAAACACTTCCTTGTGCGAATTGCGTAAGGTCGTCCTACTTTCTAACAAAAGCGCTGCTTGGGCTTCGTTTTCCAAAATAACTTTCAGGGGTCTTGGGGATGTTTTTAGGTCACGATTTGGGTCCGCTCTGCCTAGCCGGAAAGCTTTTTTAACGGTGAATATTTCCCCATCCTGCAGGACGGCACTGGCGTACTGATGAAGAAGGTCTAGGTCGTGCGTCACTCGTTCCTTCGGAATGCAGGACGTGGACTCTGGGGCGCCCCTTATGACAATAGTTTGCTTACGATTTATGGAAGAGCTCATTACTGTCCCGTCCGCGCTAGGACGATATAATGCTACTGTAGTATTCCCGACGGCTGTTGTCACTTCGACATTTGAATGATTTTCGGCCGGCGAAGGGAGTTTAGGGCATGGATTTTCATGTGACGTACTTGCTCCGGCAGTGGAGCTCTTACAATCATTACCCTGTTGCAATGTACTGCACGAAGGCTTATCGTGTCCTTTTCCATAAACGGAATGGTTAGGGCGCTTTCCAGATGAGTTAGCCTTGTGAAGAAGTGGAGTAACAGCATTGCCTTCCAAGAATAACGGCAAGTCCTTGTAGTTTCTAACAGATCTTCTGAGGGTCATCCTGGCTTTCCCAACTTTAATGTTCGATGATTTGGCAGGTTTAGTTACAATAGCAGGTAATGGAACCTGACTTATTTTTAATGCATTAGTGTCGACAGCCACGTTATCCACCGGAACTGATTTGTCTAGAGTTTCCTCTGGAGACATAACTCGCTTCCTCTTCCTGACTGGCTTTGACTTTTCCGCGCTAGCGCCTTTATTAGTAGGATGTTCGTCGCCGATCGATCGGAAATTTGGCGGATTATTTGGTAATTCTATCTTACTATGCTTAAGAATAGCCATGATGATGTCCGTCAGTAGGCCTTGCTTCTCTTCTAGCGTCTGGACCCGCTTTTCAAGTTCCTTACAGCCGACACAGCGACCGACAAGCGCAGAATCCGTCCCGTCTGTCATACAGTTTTCGAGGCCTCTTGGCAGTGCATCGGTTCTTATTTCCTGTCTTATCTCTTCGAGCCTATTGTGCGTAATCTCCCTGGAGTCTAATGATTCCAGCGGCATTTTATCGCAAGAGACTGCTAATGAATTAAAGACCGTTTTCAGCTGCTCTTCTGTAGTTGATAAACATATCTGACTAGCTCCAAACCGTTCATCGATAGTGCAGTGGCTAACACCGTGGCCTCCGGGACCGGAGGTACCGAGTTCAAATCCCGGTTGCGCAACTTTTGTGAACGAGTTTTTTTATAACAAATTGGCTCATTGCTGATGATTTTCAAACTCTTCAATCAGTTCTAGAGTAGTGCAGGATGTTTTCAACAATTGTTAGAATGAAGAATTTGCCAATTATGAAGTAAAATAGGAAACGACTCAGCCGTTTATAGTTTTCGACGTAGATCACGGAGAAAAGTTGTCAAGTAGGGAGACTTGTACAGATGGTCGGACGATTGCAAATATCTTTTGATGGAGAATTTGTGGTATACTTCACCGGTGTGAATGAGAAGACTAATTAGTGGTGCTGTTCCTTGAAGAATTCGGGTAGAATCTTCCTCCTGATACCGTGGGAAATAACGTCGAGATCCGAAAATTCCAATAATGATAGAACTTTCGAGTTGGTGTACTTGTAATCCAAATCCAAAGGATACGTTGTCTGTTCGCACTTTATTTCCACGCGACGTTCAGTCTGCCCTATACTATCAAGTAAATTCGACGAAAACTCGGAGAGCTGGGGATACGACTCAAATTCGAAGGACGCGTCCTGTCTGACCCGCATACGTACCCCTCAAGGCTGACATTTTTTTCTGCCCTGACGATGTCCGACAGTAATCCGTTATATACCGTCACCTACAGGCCAGTCCTGCCCGCATTATTCTGTCATTATTTTTTATTGAGGGGTTTTTTTCTTCCGCAAAATTAATCCAATCATTTTTAACTTTTTCTAAGGAGTTTTTTTTTCACCCCTCAATCATCATGTTTCTCAATGGACTTCTAATGTAGAAACTAGGAATTGCATTTTGTAAAGATTCGGCCTACCTCGTCTAAAATTCGCATGCAAATTTATTTTAACTTGCTTTGATGGGACCCCGACGGGTCTTTAATAAAAATTATCTATCTATCTATCTATCTATCGGCAGGACCCCGAATTACACTCCATATCTTCATGTCATCCGCAAACATTGCTACTTCACAGTCTAAATCTCTTGCGGCATCGTCCACGTAGATAAGGAACAAAATGGGTTCCAAAACTGAACCCTGGGGGACACCACTATCGACCATAGCCGGATCTGATTTTCCCCGACCGACGCACACAACCTGGTGTCGACCCACAAGGACGTTTTCGATCCATTTAAGGAAGTTGCCACGAATCCCTATTTTTTTCAGTTTATGTAAGAGCCTTTGGTGTGGCACAGTGTCCAAAGCCTTCTGGAAGTCGATGAAGGCTATGTGGACCGCGTGCTTGTCGTCAAGAGCTCGGGTCCAGCTCTGGAGAGATTGCAGCAGGTTTGTCGTGCAGGATCTTCCTTTCCGGAACCCATGATGGCAGTTCGATAGCAGGCCGTGAACTTCCAGGAATTGCATCAGTTCACTCTTTATGATCCTTTCCATAACTTTGCAGAGAATGCATGTCAAGCTTATGGGCCTGTAATTTGTCGTCGCTGCCCTGTTACCTCCTTTGTGTAGCGGAGAAATATGCGCCAGCTTCAATCGATAGGAGGTGTTCCAGTGTCAAATGACGTTTGAAAGAGCATCGACAAAGGCATAGAAAGCTCAATGGCAAGTTCCTTGAGAAGCTTGGGTGTAATCTCGTCTGGTCCTGGCGACTACGATTCGTTCAATGCGTCTAATTCTCTCCGAACAATGCCTTCTAAGAAGAGAATTTCAATGACGCTTGGAGTCGGCAGTTCTTCTGTGGAGGGAGGAAGGAACTCGGCCTCGTTTGTGTAGCCTGATTGGAAAAACCGTGAAAAATACGCAGCTTTATCCCTACTATCAGCGATCTCAACGCCATCAGTAGTCTGTATCAAGAGGTTTGATGCCTGTTCCTTGTAGTTCGTCGGAGGTAGCTGTAGAGCAATTTTGGGTTCTGCGTTGCTTTTTGTAACAAATTCTTCTCGAATTCCCGCCACGTCTGCATGATCAGGTTCCTCAGTTTGTTCCTCTGTGTCTTGTAGGTGTTGAAGCATTCAGCTTGTCTAGTGACGCAGTATTTTCTCCACAATTTGTGCTTCCTGTTGCTTTGTTTCTTGAGGTTGCTTTTTAGCCACCCAGGGCGTTTGTTCAGTCTCACACTAGTCAGTGGGCAGTAGTTGTTGATGAGCTGCAGAAGGACATTCTTGAACAGCTCCCAGTCATCGTTGGCACTTCCCGTAAACAATGAGCCCCAGTCAAGACCGGATAAGTCTGCCCTCATCTGATTGAAGTCGCCCCGCCAAACATTCCGTCTTTTGTGGTCTGGGGTATGTGAAATGGAGAATAACGAATAATCCCACATAAGCACTACGTGGTCACTTCGGCCAAGGGGCGGCATGGAGGCGATCTCGTCTATTCTGTCTGGTGTTTTCGTAAAGACCAGATCCAGGCAGTTTGCCCTTTGTCCTTCACGTGTTCTCGTTGGGAACATGACATGTTGTGTGAGGCACGCATTTAATGTTTTGCTCAACAGGCGGTAATCGAATGCCGATTTTGGACCTGATGCTTGGAGGGTATTCCAGTTTGTTCCTGGTGCGTTGAAGTCGCCCATGATCATGATGTTAGGTCGACTGCAGAATTTCTCCAACTGCTCCAATAGTTGAGTGTCGGCGATTCGGTCTTTCCTAGGTGGTCGGTAGACAGTGAGGACATCGAGACACGGGGAACCGGTAGCCTTGATGGTCAACCAGATAGCTTCCGTACTGCACACAAACTTGGTGGTGTTATCCGACACGGCCAGACCGTCATTCACATACACAACGATACCACCACCCTGACGATGTTCCCTGTCCCTCCGATAAATTTGGTATCCAGGCAAGGCTACTTCGTTATCACTAATATTCCCGGACAGCCAGGTCTCAGTTACTGCTAAAACATCTGGAGACAGCTCAGCAAGGCAAAGTTTTAGTTCGTCTAGTTTCGATATGAGGCTTTGGGCATTCGTGTACAAGCACCTCAGTTTAGCACCAGCCGAATGTCCCGTTGCATTTGTTACTGCTGTGAGCATTACTCCGTTATCGCGGACGTCGTGTTCTCTAGGCTCTTCCGTTACCTGACTGGTTCCATTTACATGCCTTGTTTCAGTCAGATCACTGGACGCTACGGGCTCACTTGTGTTGGCGCCTTGATCAGGTGGTTCAACGAAGGTGTCTGTTTTAGCTGAGAAGCTGTCGTCGTTCGTAGTATTACAGGCTGGTTACACTGAAACGGCATATATTTCCGAACTACCTTCCCCTTGAAGATAGCCAGATTGTGTTCGCCATACTTCGGTCTTGATTTTAACTCCAAGACAAGTTCCCGGCGTTTCGACCGTTCCGCTGGTGAATAGTCCGGTTGAAATAACCTGTTTGTGTGTGTTTCTGAGATCAGTTTGTTTAGAGAGGATAAACTTGATTTGCTCTTTGTTCTCCAGCATAATTTTGAGAGGGCGAGGTGGTTGTGCTACTGTCCTGTCTTCACTCCTTTTCCTATCCCGAATGCTTTCAGAACCTTTATTTCCATGTCTGCCGGGAGTAACTGATTTAGCAGACCATGAAAAGAAGCAAGGTCCTCTGAGACACGGTCTTCAGGTCTGACTGCATTCGATTCTGACAAACCCTGAATAACCAGACACTGCTGGCGAGCATGGTCCTCCTTACTCTGTCTTTCCGGTGAATGCGCTGCATGTGGGCGAGGACGATTTACGGAGTCATCGCTTGGACGCACACTTTTACTGTCTACCGACTGTCCCGAGCAACCCATCAGGGCTGGCTGTGACTTCAGAATCCTGTCATGGCGTTTCCCTCTCCCCGCTACCCACGGGTTTATGTCTTCGCATTCAGATACGTGCTCTGTAGTGCGCTCGGGGTGGTTGCCAGAACAAGAGGGCAACAGTAGACTGGATGACCCAGGTATATCGTCTCCAGGCAGAAGAGAAATACCATCACTTACAGCAAGAGGCTTAGGTGAGATGGCTTCCGCGACAGGTAGTTTTTTTGCGACATCGCTTAAGACATCGTGCGTGGGAATCGAGTCTCCCTTTATCGGCGGCTTCATTTTCATTAAATAAATAAATAAATTTAAATAAATAAATAATTTTTTTATTTAATGCCAGTTTACAGGCATTGTCAAGGGAAGCGATTAAACACAAATCCGACCAGCAGTGAAAAAAACTCCTGAGCAAAAGGGATAAAAATATAGTTGATGGCGGGTTTATGGTTTGGAGGGCTCAGGAGAAAAAACTGCCGGCGGTGGTAGAATATCGACCGTCAAGAAGGGGGAGGTTGCACGGTATCGGAGATTATCGGACGTCAAATTCCCTTCATAAAGTTGGTGATAGTCAAAGTAGAGGCGTTGAGGAACAGCTGGTGAGACCGGCCATAGTGTTCAGAGACCACAAACGCCATCGCTACGGTACAGTCGATCAGTAGATTCAGCACCCAAAATTTGTGGGAGCTTTTCTGAATGCAAAAATCGAGTAATAGTTCTCTTAAATAAAGGATAATTTTGCAGAGTTTTCACACTCATGGGTAGTTTATTCCAAATAGCAATTGCATTTACAGAATAGAACCGACGATATTTAACAGTACGTGCCAGAGGCAGAAATAAGAAGACCTCACAGTGACTGTTACGTCGTGGGTGGATATGATGTCTTAAAAAGGTGAGTGGGTTAAATGTGTGATTATATAAGAGTTTAAATAGCAAAAACAGTCCCTTTTGTAATCTACGGAACCATAAAGGACCAAGGCCCGTAAACCGGCAGCGTTCATGGTAAGACAACTGTCGGTGTTCCGGTGTTAAAATTTTCTTAGTAATAAAGTGTTGAACGGATTCTATTTTCTTCCGCTCAGTAGCACGCATGAGGCTAAATGAAAACGAACAGTATTCCAGGCCAGGTCTAACGTACATGTTGTAAAGGCGCATTCTGATGTCCCTAGTTTTAAAATTTCGGAGGATAAACCCGGTGGTTCTACGTGCTTTGTAGACTATCAAGGCACAGTGTTCCGAGAGATTGAGACTCTTGGAGTATGATACGCCCAAATCCTTTATAACCCTGGGCACATTTATGGCGTGACCTTCAATACTTAGTTGAGGTTGGCGGTCGTCGCCAACCACCATGACTGAACACTTATGCCAAGAAAGAGAAAGGCGCCATGTGCGGCACCACTGGGCGAAGGCCTGTAGATCGCTCTTTAGGAGCTCAAGCACGATGTCATGATCTGCCGGCTTATATCGATATGCAACTTTAAGATCATCGGCATACATGAAAGGCTTACCATTCTGAAATAAATCGAGTACATCATTAACGAAAAGGCAAAATAAAAGCGGCCCGAGTACACTTCCCTGAATGACTCCACTCCTCACACGTGTGGGGTTGGAGATGGTATTGGAAATCTTAACTCGTTGTGTGCGAGTGCCCAAATAAGAGGATATAAAATTCAAAAGTTTGCCACCTATTCCGAAAGAGGACAATTTCAAGAGGAGAAGAGCATGGTCAACACGGTCAAAAGCCTTAGTGAAATCGAAATATACTGTGTAAAGAGCAAAACCATGGTCCCTAGATTGGAGAACATAGTCAAAGAAAGAGAGTTGACAGGTGTCACAAGATCAAGCTTTGAGGAATCCATGCTGAGCAGCACTCAGTAGGTTATTCGCTGTTAAGTGACACATCATCTTATCCTTGATCAATGTCTCTAAGATCTTCGAAACTGCAGGGGGGGTGTTTATTGGCCGAAAGTCATCAAATGATGTAGATTTGCCGTGCTTAGGAATGGGCAGAATGTGTGATTCCTTCCACAAGGTAGGATAAGTTTCACTTTCAAGAACAAGATTAAATATCTTGCATAAGAGGGATGGGAAGATCGTGTTTGCATCGGCTTTTAAAATGCTTACTGGGACACCATCAGGGCCTGGACTATAAGATTGACGAAAACGCCGAATCGCAACAGTCACATCCCACAGAGTGAAAGTTATAGTTTCTAGAACTGCCCCGGTCAATGACTGGATGGTCGGAAGCGGAGTGGTCGAGTCTTCAATAAACGTTTTGGACAGGAAATCATTGAAGCTATCAGCGGTTAACTGGGCATCAACTATGGGATTTCCGAGAGCGTCTCGGAGGATGGGATACTGCGTCTTTCTCTGAGTTCGTATTTTTCTAGAGAAAAGTTTCGAGACACTTAACGAATGGTTTTCGGTAAAGTGGACCTCTTCGGCTAGCTGTTTTGCTTCAGACAATCTCTTAGCTCGATCAAAAATATCACAAATCAAGGGCAGAACAGAAACATCGTTCTGCAGATGGAAACGACGATAAAGTCTGCGCAATCTGCGACGAAAGGGTAAAGGTAGGAAAATCTCATCCCCAACTTTAATAATTTTCTTACGGGGGACAAAAGGAGAAATAAGCGGGTCCAAAATTTCGTACAGTTTTGCAGTGCAAACATTTACATCCGAACTAAGGAAGAAATCAGTCCAGTCGTAGGAATTAAGGTGTGTTAATAATTCGGTTGAGCGAGTTGATCGGAAATCGCGGAAAAAGTTATACTTTTGGGACGACATTTCGTCAGCCTCGAATTCCAACGTTGAAACAACTATGTCATGGTCTGAGCCCCCGAGTGGACCTAGGGATGACACTGACGATGGCAAGCAGCCTCTACAGAAAATTAAGTCAAGTATACTTGAGCCTCGGGTGGGAAAATCGACAACCTGAGTCCACATCCCGACATCCACAGCCTCAAGAAAGTCATCGAACCTTCTGGGGCCTGAAGGCGGAGACCAACGTACTTCAGGGAGATTAAAGTCACCCGCAACCAGTTGATACTTAAAGCTTAAGTCGGCCGCAGCATGAAATGCCTGTGAGAGCAAACGATCAAAATTTTCATTGGCGTTGGGAGGGCGATAGACGCAGCCACTGAGTAAGGAGAACTTATTTTTTTAGTGCAAGCTGGAGCCAGCAGCTGCCTTCTACTGCGGAAAAGTGCGGGAGGTCCAACGGCAAAAATGTAAGTGTTTGCTTAAC